AGTGCACCCATCCATTTAGCTAGAATGTCCCATTCGGCTTCATTAGCTAGAATGTCGGTTGGGATCATTCCGGCTAAAACGAGAGCAGCATCCTCCGATATTTTTCTCAGGCCGGAACTGACAGTAGGATGCTCCTAACTTCCTCCGAAGTCCCTGGTGTCTTCTAATAGCCTTTTGGCAGCATCCATTAGAGTGATCCGTGGATCCCTGCTGCTCTTATGGTGCGCTCTGTGGAACAACCTGTTGTCCAACATCATCCGAGGTAACTAATTGTCTTCTGTGAGTTTATCACTTGTCCACTTGGATGATAATAAAATCGTCTTCGTTTAATGAGCTACCAGGTCCAGTGCGGAGATAGACATCCATGATGACATTAGTCTTGTTGCTTCATTTGACTTGGCTCCCACGTCCTTGATTGCGTTGGCCACCACGACCAGGTGCATCCCTCCGGTTGCTTTGTCCTAAGTACTTCGTCGTACATGTTGTTCCAGAGCAGCGATCAGAGGATGGATCCTTGCGGAATACCCGCGGTCACCTCATAAGTTTCTGGTCATTCATCCGTGTCGTATAGTAGTGCCCTATCTGAAAGGTAGCTGGATATTATCTCTCGGAGTACCTGCCAAGAACAATGCTCTTTAGGTGTATGTTCAATTTGCCGAGTTAAAGGCATTGCGGATGTCTGGTATAACAATTTTTTCTTTTTGGTGGGTGCTTTGGAACATAGACTCCACTATTGTCCCTAGTAGGCTAGGGCATGTTGGACTAAGGTGTTCCTGCCCTTCAATTTTTCTTATGACGACCTTGTAGGCTGTTCCCCATGGGTCCAGCTCTGCCTCGTCGCACAAATTTTGAAACTACTCGGGTTTGCTGGCTTTTATAGCCACTTTCAGAGGCCTTTTGGATGCCCTGAACTCCTCCTTTCTGGTAATCAGTTCCACTGGGCCTCTTGCCTTTTAAAATCGGCGACAGTCTTTAATCGCTGGATGTCCTGGTTCCACCAGTATTATGATGATGTGCTCGGATGTCTTCTAGGCACGGCGCTGTCACAAGTATTGGTCCTGATAATTTATTCGCTGCTCCTTCCGGGGAGGATCATGGAGCCCAGTCAAACATCTGAAGAGCTACCTCCGAGGATTCAAACACTTGTCCTTTCATTTTGGTCCTGTCACATTGGGTATCCGCGCTCCTGAATATCGATCATTTCCTACTTCCAGCTTAGTGCCCCGCTTCCTTCCCGGTGTTGCTGCAGAAAGCTCACTTTGGTTCTTCCGCGTAGAGCTCGGATGCTCTCTATGGCATCTCTCACAGGCTGGATGGATGAACCTCCATTTCCGTTCTCCAACATCTCCATTAGCTGCACGATCTCCTTCCCGAGGTCTTGCAATAATGTGTTTCCAGCGGGAGTTCACTCCGCATACTTAGAATGAAGAATACAGCTGTCCGTCAGCCCAGGGCTCGTCGTATCAGGTTCGGTTGTTCCTAGGGCTTTAGTGAACACGCTTTCTCGCCTTTTTTGAAGAGGATGCCCTTCGGGGTGCGAAGAAAGGTTGCCAGTTCCACTTTCTCTGTTTGGAATAGAGTCGGCCCATGCGGCAACTTTGCTGTTTGAGACCCTTCATCCCGCAAGAATATCTCCCGCCCCTGTCAGTCGCTGCTTACGACAAACCAGAATTTGACCCGGTAGTATTCTTGGCTCCCGCTGCGGGGATATACATATAATGTATAATATATACATATATGTAGGTATGTGTGTATGTACATGGGTACGTAATTCCTATATTCACAGCTGTACACAGACGGCTGCACAAAACAAAACTGGTAACAATAATCTGTTATTCTAAAATCTAGATTATTATAACTAAAAGTAAGGATAACTTAAGATAAAAGATATTCAATAATTTTGGTTTTAATTACATTTAGGAATAATTCAGGGGATAATAAATGGGACAATGAGTTATAATTTTTACAAATAACGCGAAATGAATCGTGTTGAGCGAAATTAGACCTAGTAATTGGTAACCAAAGGGGTCGGAAGGATCAAGTTACTCTATTAGGAATAGAGAACATTAATTTTTCAAGTGAGTTTACCCCAGCACAAGTACGACGCTCTTTTAAAGGAGGTAGCTTTAATAGTTTTAACCTGCAATGATACGACGGGAGGCAAGTGGCAGTACCCCAGTTTCAGCTTTTAATGCTTTTTTAAGCTTTTCCTTTGGTGAACAAAGTATTGCGGACTCCAAACGCTAGAACATTATTCCAAGATAGGACGAACCAACGATACATATAGAGTTTTAGTTGTGAAAGGATCATAAAATTCTTTAGACCAACGTTCGATAAAAGCTAGCACACCTCTGGCTTTATTAACTGTTAGTTATATGTGTTCGTTGAAGGACAACTTATTGTCAAAAATGACTCCAAGATCGTTAATTAGGGAAAGGAGATTGTTTGAAGAAGAAGACTTCATTAAGGTCTAATTGCAGGTGTCTATGAAGGAAATGGTCTGTTAAGCTTTTACAAAAAAGTTGCAGTTGGAATTTAACCAGTTTCTCAAGCAGTTTGGGAATCGCAGATATCTATCTTATGAAGCGGAATAACAAATGATTCATTCCATCTCTTGGGAAGTCATGCCAGCTCCAAGGATAAGTTGAATAAGATAGTGAGAGGATAGCAAAGGATATCAGAACAGTACCTTAGAGCACAGCTAGGAACATTGTCAGGACCAGCAGAGAATGAGATATCTATTGTTGAAAGAGCTTCGAACACATCCTGAATTCGAAATTTTGACAAGTAAATGTTGTTTATACATATGTGTGTTTTATAAGGATAAGAAGAATTGAGGTTATATGAATCGGACGGTTTGAAGAAATGACGCAAAGAGATTAGCAATATCCCATAATATTGTTATCCTATAACTTATTAATAACGATATAAACAAAATATCAAATGCTGCGAAGCCTCAAGGGCCATCTCCAGAGAAAACGTAATTACAATCGTACAAAAAAAAAATTGTTTCCGAAAAAGTTTTTTTTTTTTTAATTTTGTCACGGTTTCTCTCATCTTCACAAATTGCGAATTTCTGTAGCGCAAGTACAGAAAGGTTTTTTGAATGACTTTTGATGCCAAACTATTTCTAAGTATAGTTAATATATATCTGAAAAACAAATTTCATCCAAATCGCAAAAGTATGCAACAAAAATTTGTTGCTGAGAATCCATACCGTTACAGCTTGACCTTAAAAGGTTATTGCAATTGTGAATGGAAGAGATGTGTACCATGTTTAGTACAGTCTGAAAAGTCGACTGTACCCGTCCTCTCTTGTTTTTTCAGCCACTTTAGTTGTTTAGCAACAAAATAGTGCAAACGGACAATCAGAAGAACACAAGGAAGAAGTTTCATTTTGAGGAAGAAGAAATATCGGGTTTTCTGAAATAACTTCTAAACAAAAAGTCGGATCTCAATCATACATATATGTATGATATGTATGAATAACGCTTATTCAAAATTAGCAGGGTATTGGAAAAAAATATATTGTGTGTGGAGACTCAGACACTAGCCCCAATTTTGTGAATTAAAATCATTTAACATTTACGCAAATTTCTTTCAAGCTGATAGACTTTTGGCAATTGTTTTGACAAAAATTATCTAATTAAAGCAATACGTTTCATTTGATATATGATCAGATCAGACGCATAAAGAACATTTTGAATTCGGCGGCTATATAGTGTTTTCACGCGGACGCTGTGGCATGCGGGTCGCCACCATGTGTACTGTCATACGCAGCGATTTGAAAAAAAAAAAAACAAGAAAGAAAAGCTAACTTCTGGCGGAGCCGAAGTTGATATGCCCTTGCAGTTAAAACCGGATATATATCGCAAACATCGGATACAGTTGGCCGATTCTTATGATTAGATCATAATGAAACCAATTAACTTAAATAAAAAATCTAAAAAAAGTCCCAAGCTTCTATCTTCAAATATACGAGAGTTGATATTTCTACCAAGTACTATTTCGAATCGGTCAGTTATATGGCAGCTATAGGATATAGTCGGCCGATCCTAATGAAATTTGGTAGGTTGGATCAACTGGCCAAAAATAGAATCTGTATTAAGTTTCAGCTTTCTATCTTCAAAAACACGAAAGTTGGGTCATTTTCGATCGTTCAGTTATATGGCAGCTATAAAATATAGTCGACCGATCCTTATGAAATTTGGCATGCCGTTATGTTTGGCTAAAAATAGCTCTTGTGTCAAATTTGAACTCTCTACCATTTTTATACCATTTCCGATCAATCAGTTATATGGCAGCTATAGGATATAGTCGGCCGATCCGGGCCGTTCTGACTTATATACTGCGTGCAAAGGAAAAAAGGGTGTGTGCAAAGTTTCAAGACGATAGCTTTAAAACTGAGAGACTAGTTCGCGAAGAAACAGACAGACGGACAGACGGACATGCTCATATCAACTCAGGAGGTGATCCTGATCAAGAATATATATACTTTATAGGGTCGGAGATGTCTCCTTCACTGCGTAGCACACTTTTGGACAAAATTATAATACCCAAGGGTATTATAATTATTATAATTAATTATAATCTGCAAGGGTATAAAAAAGGAAAGCTAACTTCGAGCGGAGCTGAAGTTGATATACCCTTGCAGTTGAAACCGCATACACATATATCGCAAACATCGGATATAGTTGTCCGATCCTTATGAGAATATCACAATAAAACCAATTAATTACAATAAAAACTAAAAAAAAACTCTAAAAACACCGAAGTTATACCATTTTCGATTAATCAGTTATATGGCAGCTATAGGATATAGTTTGCCCTTCAAAAGATATAGGCAAAATGTAAAAAATCAATATTTTAAAAATAACACTGCAAATAATAATACAAACAAAAAAAACATGTACAGACATGTCAACTTATAACAATGACAAAAATATTAATTAGAAACTTAAGGGAAATATATTAAAAGTACCAAGTAAAAAACCCACACATGTTTTAGGAAAGCTTTTACTTTTTAAATTTCAAAGCCTAAGACGATTTATGCTGTCTATTTTTCTTAATCTAATCAATTGTAGGACCGAAAACTATCTCCTTCCATGAGCTAAAATTAACTACGATCAGACGTCTAGTTCATTTTGACAGAACAGTTGATTTTTGTTACTAAGGAAGTCCATTTCCATTTGGGTCAACCTTCGGTCGATTCTGTCACGTAGCAAAGCTAGTATCTTCAAATCCCGGTCCACCCTGTCCTTTGCAATAGTGCTGTGGCTCAATTTATCGCAAAATCTGTCGAAACAGTGATCCAAAGTTAGCATTTTACATTCAAGTCCTTGGATGTTGCTTTTTATATTCACAGACCGACTACCTAGATCCTTTAATGATCCTTTTAGATCAGCTGCAAGGTCGGCTGATGAAAGTGCGTTTTGGTGATCTCGAAGTGTGTTGAAACTTTTAGGTTTGTGGGTCACATAATGCTTGTGCATCTTAAGCAAGTTGGCCCGGAAAAGATCCCAGTTTACTTTTTCTGGGTCCCTCTCCATTCCACTTGTAAACAAATTGATCTCGTTAATCCATTGCATCATCTCTTTTTCCCGTTTACTAGGAAATTCAGTGAATGGTTTTGTTTCCGTCGGGCTACTGTACGTGACCTCTAGGGCTCTTGTTTTATAATCAGGTTTGCAGTTAGAATTAATTTTGGATGAATCTGGCTGAAACGTGATTATGGAATTCGTGTCTTTTATCACAGCCCTGCCATTAGAATTAACGAGATGCGCCTGGGTTTCCACTGTAGCTGTATCCTTTACAAGAAGCAGTCGGTCATAATCATTTAAGCATCTATTTTCGTTCAATTGATACTCGGTCGTCTTAAGGAAATCTGTCTCACCAGCATCCACCAAATGCGCGCATTCATCTAATACACAATCCATCATGCCGTTCTGTAAAAAAAAATGGTTTGTATAGTGACCTACAAAAAATTCCTTACCATCTTCTACTTTTATTAGCATTTCCTTGAAATTTTTTTTCTTTGAGCTTAAATTGGCCATGAACTCGTTCCGCATTGTCTTCACTATTTCGGCAATGGCTTCGCCCTCCCTCGATCTTGCCACTGATCTTAAATGGTCGCCGTCGTCCTGCCCATCTGGGCACTCATAATCTTTATCAATTAGGCCTTTCTGTAAAGGAATTATTATATATACTTTATTATTTTGCTATAAAGATCACTACATACCTCTACTAACAGTTCAAAGTGGATAACGTCTGCATTAAGATCAGAAGAGATACATTTATCTCTACACCTTTTGAAAGATTCCTGACTCCGAACATACTGCAGAGTTACCTGACTATCAGATTTATTAGGTTCAGCATCGTTACCATCATTTTTTTCGGAGGAAGCATTATCAAAAGACTCCTCTTGTCCGAATTCCATTTTACAAAGAATTTACAAATAAGATCCGATCTACTAATTTTGAATAAGAATTTTAACTTAGCTACTACTGAGACTTAAAACTCTAAAAATATCAAAACAATGTCACGAGTGCCGACCGAAACACTTCCACTCAAATTTCGCTTAAATTTCACTTTCGAGTGCCAAACGCCTGTTTTTATTGATTCTAGTTTTTATTGAATTTTTTCCGTGGATGGCAGTGTTCAACGTCAATTTTTTTCTTGTAAGCTCGACATTGAAGCTATTGCCTTTTTTAACCCAAACTGTGGGGAAAAAACAAAAAGAAAACAACACGTTTTCCTAGAAAATTTATTATTTCGATTCTATTTAATTTTGCTTTTTAGAAAATGCTGTAAAAATGTTTTTTCGTATAAACCTACAATTTTCGATCGGAAACGTTGTTCCAAGCATATTAAAGGTATATCGAAATTAATTGTTCTTGTAACTTCAATGACCTCTCTATCTAGACAGCTTGCGCTGTAACCCACAATATCGACCAATATCAAGAAGAAATCCTAATGAAGAATCCTAAATCCTAAAAATCAGCATTAAAACTCTTCGATCTTATGTGTGGGTCAGAGTAAACCTGTCACGAAGTACAGTACAGTATGTAAATTATATTTTAGTTGATTCCCGTGTGACTTATAGCACTTGAATTATCAGCAACGATATAACTCAATTGGTTCATAAGTGCCAACTGGAACTCTTAAGTCAACACAGCGCTTTCTAAGGACACGTGTCGCAAGCGGGTAATTAACCCTTTGACTGCCTTACCTCTTTGAATTTTGACGTTTAATACTCGAGAGATTATAACGGGAGAGTAAAGGTCACTCCTTATTTTGTCCGCAAATCAACCCATATTAAAGCGAAGAAGCTAAGAAGACATGAAACCAAAGCCAAATTTTATATATCCTTGCAATTAACAAGAAAGGAAAGCTAACTTCGGGCGGAGCCGAAGTTTATATACCCTTGCAGTTAAAACCAGATATATATCTCAAACATCGGATATAGTTATAGTATATACCAAATACCATTTCCGACCGTTCAGTTATATGGCAGCTATAGGATATAGTTGGCCGATCCTAATGAAATTTCCTAGGTCGGATTAACTGACCAAAAATATAATGTGTACCAAGTTCCAGCTTTCTATCTTCAAAAACACGAAAGTTGGGTCATTTCCGATCGTTCAGTTATATGGCAGCTATAAGATATAGTCGTCCGATCCATATGAAATTTGGCATGTCGTATTATTTTGCCAAAAATAGCTCTCATGTCAATTTTTAGCCCTCTAACTCTAAAAACACCAAAGTTATACCATTTCCGATCAATCAGTTATATGGCAGCTATAGGATATAGTCGGCCGATCCTTATAAGAATATGATAATATAATCCAATTTATTATAATACAAAATCTAAGAAAAGTCCTAAACTTCTTTCTTCAAAAATACCAAAGTTGATATTTCTACCAAAAACCATTTCCGATCGCTCAGTTAAATGGGAGCTATTAGATATAGTCAACTGATCGTTATGAAATTTGGTAGGTCGGATTAACTGACAAAAAATATAATCTGTACCAAGTTCCAGCTTTCTATCTTCAAAAACACGAATGTTTGGTCATTTCCGATCGTTCAGTTATATGGCAGCTATAGGATATATTAAACCGATCCGTATGAAATTTGGCATGTCGTATTATTTTGCCAAAAATAGCGTTCATGTAATTTTGTAATTTTGTAAATTTTATCTCTCTAACTCTAAAAACACCGAAGTTATACCATTTCCAATCAATCAGTTATATGGCAGCTATAGGATATAGTCGACCGATTCCGATCGTTCCGACTTATATAGTGCGTGCAAAGAAAAGAAGGGTGTGTGCAAAGTTTCAAGACGATAGTTTTAAAACTGAGAGACTAGTTCGCGTAGAAACAGACAGACAGACAGACAGACGGACATGCTCATATCAACTCAGGAGATCATCCTGATCAAGAATATATATACTTTATAGGGTCGGAGATGTCTCCTTCACTGCGTAGCATACTTTTGGACGAAATTATAATACCCTCTGCAAGGGTATAATAAGGAGGCAAGTCTGCTTTCCTACTAAATCGCTAGTAGGTTTGTTGTTGTTGTTTTGCCCAAGCGCAAAGACAGGCAACAACATTTTTTTGGGGAGAATCCATACCGTTAAAGATTAAACTTTAAAGGTTAGTTAAATTGTAAGTGGAAGAGATGAGTTCCGGGTATGTAACAGACGGTCTACTATAGCCGTTCTTTCTTGTTTTAATTAGAATATAATGATTCTCTTATTTTTATACCCTTGCAGAGGGTATTATAATTTTGGTCAAAAGTGTGCAACGCAGTGAAGGAGACATCTCCGACCCTATAAAGTATATGTATTCTTGATCAGGATCACCTCCTGAGTTGATATGAGCATGTCCGTCTGTCCGTCTGTCTGTCCGTCTGTCTGTTTCTACGCGAACTAGTCTCTCAGTTTTAAAGCTATCGTCTTGAAACTTTGCACACACCCTTCTTTCCTTTGCACGCAGTATATAAGTCGGAACGACCGGAATCAGCCGACTATATCCTATAGCTGCCATATAACTGAACGATCGGAAATGGCCCAACTTTCGTGTTTTTGAAGATAGAAGCTGGAACTTGGTACATATTTTAGTTTTTTTTTAGTTTTAGTTTTAGTTTCATTTAATCCGACCTACCAAATTTAATAACGATCGGCCGACTATATCTTATAGCTGCCATATACTGAATGATCGGAAATGGTTTTTGGTAGAAATACCAACTTTGGTATTTTTGAAGATAGAAGCTTGAGATTTTTTTTAGATTTTGAATTGTAATAAATTGGATTATATATTCATATTCCCATAAGGATCGGCCAACTATATCCGATGTTTGCGATATATATCCGGTTTTAACTTTCTTGTTTTGAAATAAATGTTTTTTTCATTTAATTGTAAATTAGAAAAGGGTAACTGTTAGAGTAACTGTTTCGGCTGTGAAAAATAGGCGATACTGCGAAACCAAAAAACGTAAACCAAAAGATTATAGTTTGCACGTTTTTCTAGAAAGTAACCATGACAACACAATATATGAGCCGGATCCTAGTACTAATAGCAACGGGTTATGAGAAGGCAATCCTGCAATTCATTGCTAGCAGAAGTCTGTGGGGCTTAGATGCATCGGCACCAGCACCGTGAATCAAATCCTGATCTGCTTGACTCCAGTACAAAGCAAGCTGCACATAAAGTAATGACCGATAGCCCCATCAACTGTAAATTAATATCATAATGGGGATGACATGGGAAATACGACTGACATCCGTCAGGAATGCCAACCATGGTCACTACACCTCCGACCCAAAAACGCACTAGCTGCGGCCAACGCGGTAGCTGATAATTACGCGCGATTGGCTTGACCCGTCGTTTATGTATATATTTGCAGAAGGACCAGCACAAGTTAAGTCTATCAACAGAGCGGATAGATCACCTGTGGATAAATTGAAACTCCAAAAAGTATAACACCCTTGCTATTTCTACCTATCGGAACTACAGCTGAGATACTTTCATTCATTTCATAAACAACCTCTCGCAGCGGGCGCAATAATTCTAAGCTTCCCCGTCCCCGAAGGAACAAAAAAATGAAAAGCAATGTGTCGGGTCAGGCAGCAGCCCACCGGTGTAATTTTAATGTTTAAATATGTTAACGTAATGTTTGGCTTAAGTTTATACAAAAGCTAGTTGATCGCAAGCCGACTCTCTCTCGGCCGCTCGACTCAACGGACTTTCTTTAGAGAGTTTTAGCTCGGCAATGTCTAGGTCGGGCCGCCCTCTCCACTTTCGAGAGCTTTAGCTCGAGGTGACTTGTCGGGCCGCCCTCTCTGTGTATATGACTTGAGTCCCTGCATGCACCATAAGCAGGTCTATCTGCGGATCATCCGGCTTCACCTGCATGTAGGAATAAACATTTTTTATAACGTTCAAAATTAACAAATTCGTCTTTTTATTTACGGCATTGAAAACGCTCAATGACCAAACACAATGGTTGCAGTGGGACCTGAAATAGCTGCACGCTGAGGAAAATGGGGCCTCAGATTGCCTTTAAACATGATTTTCAGTTCTACGTTTGAATAAGCCCAATTGCTGAAATAGCTAGAAGAATTGGAATTGCGAAACATGTCTTGTAGTGCCTAAACAGCCTAAACAGCCATGTCACAATTCTATTTGAACAAATGTGCCATTGGGCATGCTAATAACACTATTTACATATATACATACATACATACATATGTAAATATATTGCTTTTGGTCCGAACAAAGTTATCTAAATTTTAAAGAATTTAAAAAAATGCTATTTCTGCACGTTCAGAGCTAGCCCAACCTAGAGAAGAAAGTTGACTGAGGAGTTCTTTGGCTAGAAAACCAGCGGTTTTCTGCGGAAGGGGAAAGAAAAGCTTTTTACAAGAACATTTCCAGCCACCATCAATTAACAATAAGCTAACAAACCACAAACTATTTATCAATTAAACCCATACATTTTTATGCGTTTTTAAGGGCGGAAAGTTTTTAATAATTGTTCAGACAAAAACGGAAAAAGTGTAAAACCAGAGGCCCAATCAATTACCATTATTATAAACCGCCTTTCAAAGTTCCAGAACCTGGCTTTTAAAAAGAAAAATAAACACATATTTGCGTACATATATTGCGTATAAAAGTACTGGCTCGAGCTCATCCGATTCTCGCTTATGGCAACTCAAAACATGTTTACCAGATCATTAGTGATGCACAAACTTTTCCGCGGTACTCACGCTGCTCCCTGTGCATTCTTATTGCTTCATGAAGAGTCTCCTAGGCATCCAGCCACGCTTGGCAGAAGCCTCAGAAAACACAGCCCGCTGACATACGGGCAGCGGCAGTGACCTGAAAGAGCATGTGGAACTAATCACAAATTTTTGCAATCGCATTGTGAGGTGAAAGTGCAACCATGGTATGTATCTTATGTCACCGGAGCCCTTTGTCAGGTCAGAGAGCTTAGCAGTCCAGCGGAATAATAAAAGCTAAACTTTAGTTCTTGAAGACCCACGTATAAGAAAGCCAAAACAATATAAAATACAAAACATTAGTCAATTAGATAAAAGTTACTTTATCCAAAAAATTTTCCAAAAGTTTTGACAAAATTCAAAATTTGAGAAAGTCTAAACTTTAGACTATTAAGCCTTTTTCTTCAAAATCGGGTTACATACATATGTACATGCATATAGTACATAAATTTTTATTTAATGACATATAAAGGGTACTATTTTTTCTGTGTAGTTCTGATCCAATTACCCAACGGAAACAAGAAATTTTCTAATACTGTTTAGTTAATAAAAATTTAAAAATAGACAGGAAGGATATTGTACATTTTTTTGTTTTCTTAAAGTCAATTAATAGCGTAATATTTCAATCAAGCTGGTTTGTTTTGTAAAACCAATGCATGTACTTTCCGTTCTTGCGATATTATGTGAATAAAACATTTATTATTTATAAAGAAAATATAAAAATATTAAACTTGTGGTTGTATATTTGTATATGCATACATATGTATGTACATATGAGTATTATTAGTCTCTCAGTTTTAAAGCTATACACTTCAAACATGGCACAAGTTAAAAATCATATCAAAAATACAAATGAATTAATATTAATGAATTAGGTTTTCCCTTCTTTTGTTCGCCAACGAGCCCCATCTAGACAAATTTTACAGGTAAAATAATCGTAACCCCTCTCCTGTAAAATTTGGTTTTACTTTAGAGTTTTGAAGATGATTTTGATTTAACGTAATGTCAAGTTTTTTATCTGAACTCGGAGCTCAGTCTGAACCCCTCGCCCTGTGGCAGGGCGAAAATATTTCAGTGGATTGAAGTATAACAATTCTCCAAATCACTAGTGTTTTCTGTGGCAGCCGTTTAGAATAACTATTTTAAAATGCCACATATAACAATTTTTTATAGAATCATTTGTTTTTTTTTAATTACTTTTTTTTTATATGGTACATACACTATTTTTTTTATTTACATATGTATACAAACCTATGTAAGCATCCAAACGAATACTGGAAGTAAATGGTGGTTCATATGTATAAAGGCGACATCCCACGAACCCCCAGATTTAGGTAGACAGTGCAATTGAAGATTGCTTTATTTTTTGTATATTTTCTCAGCTTATTGGGGTCATAAAGTTTTTAAAAAAATAAATTAATTTAATAAAATACACATAATTTAACCCAATACAAAGAAAAAGTTCAAATTTTTAAACTGTATATTACATGCCTACTTTTATTTTATCATTTAATATTCGTGGAAATTGATATGTCTGACCTATTTTGAATTTCAGATTTTTGGCGCGCACATTTTTAAATGATCTTCAGCGATGGGTGTTTGGTTGAAAAGAAAGAAAAAAATGTTATAAAATGTCTTGCATAAATATAAATAAAAACTGTACAAAAGATTTTTTCTAAATGTGTTACTCTTAATAAAGGCGAGAGGAAAAGTGTGAAATAGTTTTTAACAGGGTCTGAACGCCACCTGATCGAAAAAAAAAATACCAGAAATTTACATAGGGATGCCACCCCGCACCAATAAACTTATTACAGGTCCCTAGCAAAATAATAATAGCAAAGATTCTTCTAGCAGTTTTGGTTGGTGGTATCGAAAACATGTTGACGGAAATCATCATTTTTAAACAATATTTTTACAACCATATAGCTTTAAAAACAAGATAAACGGTTATGATAATATAAAAGTTATTTGAATCATTTGTGTCCACCGTTATGGTTGTGGGACCATAGTACGTAATTTGGAAAAAATTCGTTCACACTATAAACTACTTGTTGATGTTGATGTTGTTGTTTCAGATATACAAACCAGGCGTCCAAACTCTACACGTCACCAGGTCCAACGGCGATCTAATTTGCGCCAACGAACTACTACAAAGCCTATTGAAGTAACTGCTGAGCACAAAATTTGCCAAAGGTTGCCCTAATACCGTGCAACTCTTGCAGGCCATGCGTCAGCTTAAAGGAAAAGTCAAGGAGACGAGGAAACAGAAGAAGGAGCGCAAGCTGGACAACTTGGAGATCCAGGCCAAAATTCGGACTGTGGTTCTGCCCGCCTTTGGCGCCTTGGCAGTGTTTCTAGTTCTCTTTGTCTATTTGAAGACACGGCCTGCAATCCTGGCCTAAAGACTGAAATCTTTGACTGGATCTGTCCAAAGGAAGTGCAATCCCAATTCTATTAACAGTTTCAACATATATATATGTATATAGCTGTCATTTTAAAATTAAATGGTATTTTGCAAACTTATTCATAGCCTGAGTTTCCATAATCTGGTTTTGCCTGATCTTTTTTTAAATAATAATAATAGTAGACTTATAAAGTTAAAAATCATATCAAAAATACAAATGAATTAATATTAATGAATTAGGTTTTCCCATTTGCTCACGTTGACAACCATGAGCAGGTTTTATTTTTGGCTGTTATGTGCTTCCGTTTATTTTTTGGCCAGTCTTTCCCTGATTCATAGACACTTGCTCGTATTCGCTCTACTATATACATAAAAGTATAACAGTTAAACATATATAAAGCAAGGCCACAATTTCCACTATAAAGACCACAAAATCAATAGAAGTTCTGGAAAAAAAGTTTTGATAAATCAAAAACAACGATTATCTAATCTGCGCGCAGTGAAATATCTGAAAAAACCCAGTGTGCCAGTCAGCTGTTGTCACACATACATCCAACTATCGCGGTCGCCTGACGTTTGCTTCGAGTGTTCTCATTTTCACTCTCAAGCTGGCGGTTGCGGGCGAAAAGGGCTCAGTTAGCTTTTCTACGATGCTTAAATTTTTGGTAAGTTTAAGTTGTTCTTTTTTTATAGTATGTTTACAAATTATCACAAAAGACAACACTAGCAGTACATTACATTAATTCCATATTATGATATTTTCATGGCGTGCTTTTTTCCAGTTTGTGCCTATACATTTACATACATACAGTGGTACGCATACAGCTTTTTTCAACCCTCTTTTTTTATAACTTTCAACCGCTAAAAAAATAAAACAAAAGAACAAAAAAAAAAGATCTATAAAATAATATTATAAAAAAAATGTAATGAAAAGAAACAAAAAAAAGTAAAATCTCAAGACAATTTAACTTCATTAAAGAAAAATTAAATATAATTTTTCTTGCGCTCTCGGCTGTCAATTTAATATATTAGATAATCCATGATACAATTATCATGCGATAAACATGCTCAATACATGCTCACTGCCTTTGACTAGACTGGCCTGGATTTTTTTTAAACATTTTTTAAAATAGAATGTTTTAAAATGTTTGTAAAGACATAAATTCAACTTGTGTACATTTTAATCAGATAGGAGGCTTTCTTTTGTAAGTACGTCGGCCAAGTCAGACTGCCGACAAGGGCATAAAAATCTCGACTCTCCAAAAATCAACACAAACCTCACCAAATTGAAAGTTTCTTTTAACTGAGCTGCAAGCCAAAATGAAATTGCTGGCACTTGGGGCGCAAGTGATTAGACTCAGGGCTAATACTGGAGTGAAAATCCGCACTAATAGCACATGCTGTCAGCCAGAAATTCCGGAGCCTCTGCCTTGCTGCCCGAAGAAAAGCTTTTGGACTTTCAACCGCGCAATGTTTTTTTCCATGGTTAGGACAAGATCTGCTAGAGGCCAACCACTAATAGTACGCTGTCTTTTATTCCAGATAACCTTTGGAGCCGGGGTTTACACGGGCATCTACGTATCCCAAAACTATGAGGTGAGAACCATAAAAAACTGCAAAAATAGTTCTTTGAGCAATTCTTTTAGCAGGTCCCCCGTGTTGACGATCCTCAGAAATTGGTTCAGCGACTGAACGAGAAAGTAAAGGAACTGATGGAGGACAGCAAGAAAAAGTAATGGCCTTTGTAGTTTAATAGGATATCCACACGGCTTTAAATTCAATAAATCATTTGAGCGAATTTTAGGAATACAAATTGAGCGAAATCATTTAAAAATTGTCTACAAATCTATTATAAAGAATGAAATTTGGCCATGCTCAAATGTCAAAAATTGGTATTTGTTTTAATCTATTATCCTCTTTGTATGTATTTTGCCTGTTTCAACATCCTTAGAAATATTAGTTTCAATTCAATTTATAGATGTAGGTATCCAACACCGCTTATACATATTAAATTATTTTAGCCATTATTAAAAATGCGTTTATAAGGAAATTTTGAAGTGAAAGAAGTGGAGTCATGCTTAGGAAGATTTATTTTTATGCCGTTTTTCGGATAGTTCTTCAATGACTTCTGCTGACTTTACAAAAAAAAAAACTGATTTAGAAACTGGTGTCATAAGTGAGTTTAAGTTTCAGTTTAAAAACTAGGATTCCATACTTATTACAAGTTAAATACGCATATTAAATATAATGCCTAAACTTTTCCCAGATCAGCCGCCGAGCAAATTGTGCACGATTTTAAAAAGGAAGCCAAAAAGATTCTGGACGATTAGTCGGAGCAAACATTTTTTTAAACAAAACAAATGTATCTATAATAAAATAAAGCCTTTATAACTTTTTCGTCCTCTAACAACTGGACCTAAATGAAGGAAACTCCACCGCCATAATGTTCGAGACGCGTCTGAGGTTGGATGAACGCAAGCCAGTCGGAAGCGTGCGTGGGCAGCAGTCCCATGCTGTGACACTTATAAAGAGCTAGTGCCACATTAGCCAGGTTACCAAGGAAGTAGACTATACGCTGGCCGGTTCCTTGAGCGCCCTCGGCCATCTTGGAGGTTACTTGAGTGGTGAACATAGCCTTGATAGGCCGAATTAACATCATTCCTACCATCATAATAGGGAATATGGATATTGAGTTGCCGGACATGTACATGATAAAAAGGTTCATGGGTATCTGCATATGAAAAAAAGTTAGACTACGCACAGCTGAGCACCTCACCCCACTCTACTCACGTTCTTTAGAGGTCCTAGAGCGAGATCCCATGACTTTTTTATTACCAAGCGTTGGTCGCGACCAGCTGCATCGGTCTGGTTCACCAGAGCTGCTGGGTTGTATCCGAGCGGCGAAGGCATGTCACCATTTTTGCTTTTGAAAATTGTGGAAAAGTTAATAGTGAAAATGGTATTTGACCCACTTTTGACGACTTAATAGTAGATACCTTATGTTAAAATCCAGCGCCCATTTGAACTTCTTTGAACTTTGCTTAGTGGACATTGTTCAGCTTCCTTTTTTCAATAATTGACAACTTCCGTAAATTATCCAGGGTTGTTGATAATTTGCAGTGTGGCCGCAATCAAAACTATAAAAAATACTTTCCGCCTCAACAAGTAATACCAAAAACTGCTTTTCCATTTTTAGACAATTTCAGCGCTGGAAACCAACATAAGAAACTAGTAAAACCAACATTTTTTTTGTTTCCGTATTTAAACAGCAGCTCCACTCCAGAGCAATCTAGCAGCATCTAGAAAAAATTAAAACAATTTTAATTTATTTTTCTATAATTTTTATACCATTATTTTTGGGTATTATTATTTTGTCCAAAAGTGTGCAACGCAGTGAAGGATACATCTCCGACCCTATAAAGTATATATATTCTTGATCAGGACACCTCCTGAGTTGATATGAGCATGTCCGTCTGTCTGTTTCTACGCGAACTAGTCTCTCAGTTTTGAAGCTATCGACTTGAAACTTTGCACACACCCTTCTTTCCCTTGCACGCAGTATATAAGTCGGAACGGCCGGGATCGGCCGACTATATCCTATAGCTGCCATATAACTGATTGATCGGAAATGCCATAACTTCGGTGTTTTTAGAGCTAGAGAGTATTTTTATATTTTGTATGAATTTTATTTTTGACAAAATAGTAAATATTACTAAATTTCATAAGGATAACTTCCCTGTTTTGAAGATAGAAAGTTGGAACTTCGTACAGATTCTATTTTTGGTCAGTTGATCCAACGTTCCATAATTTCATAACGATCGGCCGACTATATCTTGTAGTTGCCATATAACTGAACGATCGGAAGTGGTTTTTGGTATACCAACTTTGGTGTTCTTGAAGATAAAAGTTTGGGATTTTATTTAGATTTTGTATTATAATAAATTGATTATATTTTGATGTTCTCTTAAGGATCGGCCAATTATATCCGATGTTTGCGATATACATATATCCGGTATTAGCTGCAATGGTATTTCAACTTCGGCCCTGTCCGAAGTTAGCTTTCCTTTCTTGTTTTTTATAGAAATTGAAAAAAATAATGGGGTAAAAATATGATTTGAAAGAATGATGTCACAATCGCCTTCTATTGACAAATTTCCCCAGACTCTATGCGACCACATGACCACATGGTTGTATACAGTGGTCATACGACCCATCCTGTTCTACGGGGTAGTCTGGTGGCCTGCTCTAACAAACTCCATATGTAGAGAAAGGTTTAGGCGAAGGTCTGCATTACAGGCAGCCCCCGTACCACACCTACAGACACCCTAGACTTCTCTCTACCTGTAGAGATAGTGGAGGTAGATAGCGACGCTATCGGCAATTAGGCTAGGCGGGGCGGGTCTATGGAAAAGGACTAACTATGGACCCACCAAGTTGGACATACTCCATTTAACGCCTACGGGGGCTTACAGACTACTGTATACCTGTCAATCATCTTACCTTAAAATATAGGAACTCCATTCCATCGAGGAAGGAATGGGACACTCAAATCCCGGGACCAGTCGGTTCCCTTCATATTTACACAGACGGAGCAACATCCACCTCATATGGGTGCCCGGAATTAGCAAGAGCAGGTACTACCAACCCTCTCCTCCCAGAGAAAGAACTAGTAGGCATTCCCTTAGCAACGTGTAGGCTGAAATGCAGGCATCACTTCGAACTGGTAGCACTGAGAAAATGGAGGAATCTCCAGAACTGCAGGACCTCATATGGCCCACCCGCTCTAGGAAAAGATCAATGATGCTTATCGCCCTCAATGGGCAGGACTGCAGTCTAGTGGTCAAGGCCATCACGAGGCACTGGTTAATAGGAACGCACGCGGCTAGACTAGCGGTGCCACACTATGATTGGCACGCAGCTCTCCGTAGAGGAGGAGAAGGACACAATCACACACCCCCTGTGCCACTGCACTGCGTTTTGTCGCAGTCGACTCAAACTCCTAGGTGCAGCAACCCTCATGGACCTAACAGACCTCACGAAGACCGCTCCACGCTCCAGGGAGCGCGAGTCGTCTCAGGAAGGGTAGTATTCCTTGGCTCCTTTAGAAGATAGGATGGGGTGGGCTCCTCTTGCGGGACCTCTGGCTTGTGCGGTATCACAAGGAGCCCCAGTGGCTCAAGTGGATGCGGGAGGTCAGTGACTGGCCCCCGCCCCGCCATCGCCGCCTCAACCTAACCTAATATACAAAAATTTGAATTTGAAGAATAAAAAGAAAAAAGTTTTAAAACCAGTGGGAGTGAAACTTCCCCATATCAGAACCACGGATCAACCTTCTACCTCTTCTTTGTCCACTAACCCAAAAAACTAGTATCGTCACTACCACACCTATCAGAATACTAGGGGGCTACGTAGCAAACTCCCCGAACTAAAATCGGGGGACTGCAAATTTGCGGTCAGATGCGGTCACTTCCGGTCTCAGGGAGTTCCGCGCCGGAGTACCCCAAGGCAGCGTGCTGGGCCCTTTATTATACAATGTCTACACGGCCGATCTCCCAGTTTTGCGGAGCCCCAACATAATGGCAGCGACCTATGCGGACGATACCGCCTTCCTGACCGCTGCTGACAACGCAACAGAGGCAGCTGCTGTCATGCAGGAGCAACTAGATCTTCTCGGCGATTGGCAGAGAAGGTGGAATATTCAAGTGAATAACGATAAATCCACCGCCACCATATTTTCTCTCCGTCGGGGAAATCGCCCACCGGTCCACCTCAACAGCTCCCCCATCCCACAAGTAGAAAACCCAAGATACCTGGGCTTCAAGCTAGACAGGAGGCTTACTTGGAAGCCTCACCTAGTCAAAAAGCGAAAGCAGTGTGAAGTAAGATTGAAGGCGTACTATTGGCTGATGGGTAGGAGGTCGAAGCTAAGGACCTCTCCGAAAATCCTAATCTACAATGCGATTATTCGGCCAATTTGGACATACGGGATCCAACTTTGGGGAACGGCCAGCAAGAACAATATTCAGACTATCCAGACGTTTGAAAATAGAGCCCTCCATATCACCACTGGGGCCCACGTCTACCAGGACAACCAGACAATCCACGAGGGGCTTGGCTTCTCGTGGGTGAAGGAGGAGATCCAGAGAAGCAGCAGCAAGTACATCCAGAGACTACACAACCACCCCAAAGAGTTGGCGACCACTCTCCTCGACAACAGCGAACAGATGCGGCGGCTGCGCAGAACTCACCCGCTGGACCTCATCCGGAGTAACTCTTAGACATTCTTATTTTTCCACCTCTAACTTAAGTTACACATAAGCCAAGTTTTCTGCCACAATAATTATTGGTTGTCCCTGTTGGACAGTTTTAAATAAAACCACACCTTTCATAATAAAAAAAAAATAAATAAAAAAACAAGAAAGGAAAGCTAACTTCGGGCGGAGCCGAAGTTTATATACCCTTGCAGCTAAAAAAGGATATATATCGCAAACATCGGATATAGTTGGCCGATCCTTATGAAATTTGGTAGGATGGATCAAAATTTAATCTGTACCAAGTTCCAGCTTTCTATCTTCAAAAACACGAAAGTTGGGTCAATTCCGATCGGTCAGTTGTATGTCAGCTATAGGATATAGTCGGCCGATCCTTATGAAATTTGGTAGGTCTGATTATCTGACCAAAAGTAGTATTTGTACGAAGTTTAAGATTTCTATCTTCAAAAACACGAAAGTTGGGGTGTTTCCAATCGTTCAGTTATATGGCAGCTATGGGATATAGTCGGCCGATCCTTATGAAATTTGGCATGTCGTAATGTTTTGCCAAAAATAGCACTCATGTCAAATTTGAACTCTCTAACTCTAAAAACACCAAAGTTATATCATTTCCGATCAATCAGTTATATGGCAGCTATAGGATATAGTCGGCCGACTTATATACTGCGTGCAAAGGAAAGAAGGGTGTGTGCAAAGTTTCAAGACGATAGCTTTAAAACTGAGAGACTAGTTTGCGTAGAAACAGACAGACGGACAGACAGACGGACAGACGGACAGACGGACAGACGGACATGCTCATATCAACTCAGGAGGTGATCCTGATCAAGAATATATATACTTTATAGGGTCGGAGATGTCTCCTTCACTGCGTTGCACACTTTTGACCAAAATTATAATACCCTCTGCAAGGGTATAAAAAGAATACTTGGGGGCTACGTAACAAACTCTTCAAACTATGTTCTTATAGTTCTTTCTTTGCATCCCATATTATAGCCTTTACAGAAACTTGGTTAAAGCCGGAGATCTTTAGCTCCGAAGTTTTCCCAAGTAAGTAAACCACTTTTAGACGGAATCGACCTCAGCGAAGGAGGGGTGGATTCCTCATTTCGATAGACTCCCAACTTGCATCTGAGGAGGTGAAATCCAAGAGTTTTGTGACATCGAATTTGTTTGCCCACATATTGGCATCATTTTTCCGCTGTTCAATCCATTTTTAATCTTATGACGTCGACTTTATATCCCAGCACCATGTCTTCACCGCGGGCATGTTTGACTTGTCCCTAGGTCAAATTAACCATGTTGGAAATTCGTTAGGTCAGCTTTTTGACTTATGTTTTGTATATGATCCTGATGGTACCACTCTCTCCAGATACTAAAAATCGGCTCTTACTTAAATATAAAAAAACCTGCAGTAGCATATATTTTTCAAGATATCTACTAGCTGGGTCAAATTTTACCGGTAAATTTTTACAGAAATTATATTTGTCGCTGCCGGATTCAATTTACTCAGGATCCAAAGCAGTATTAAAACTTTGTAAACACTAAACGTAAACACGTATCTTTTCCACCCCTGCTTACGTTTGAAAATTTATCTGCGACCTCTGCCCAGGCCATTGCCGATCCATTCGCAGAATTTTTTCAAACAACTTATTCTCCGCCTAAATTGACATATCAGCCTTACGCGTACAACATTCAATCAGCAAATCTTATTTTCTGTCCGTTTTTCTCCCTGAATAGCTGATCTTCTAAGGGTCAAACCCATTTATTCGCCAGGTGCCATGGTGCCAAACACTGTGCCATGGCTCTGAACAAAACTTTTCATATACTTTTCAGCTTATCTTTGGCCTATGTCTTTTTATCGTTCTTGCCCTCTGTACGATTAATTTGTCTGAAGTCTACAGAATCTAACCAATGGGTTATGGGGTTAAATTTTAACATTCCCAATAGAAGGACTAGAAACTTTAGTTTCTAGGACCCTTTTAGGGTCTTATGTTTTAACGTTCCCAATAGAAGGACTAGAAACTTTAGTTTCTAGGACCCTTTTAGGGTCTTATGTTTGAACTACAATGGTCTTTACTCTATAACATCTCTTTCCTGTCCTTCCAATTTAAAATATAGGATTTTAAATTTCCTTACTAACTCCTCCTAGCTTACCTCCTCCTAATAAATTACAAATAGCTTAACATATACTAATAAATTGTTTCTCGAGCGTTCCTCGGTCCTTTGGGCCTCTAAGCTTTATGATGAATGCAGGAATGCTAGCTGATGCTTTAATTGATGCACAAGACATTTCCATTCTGAAAGAACCAGTAAAAAAAAAATAAATATTTAATGGTTTTTGGCAGTTTAATCAAATTCAACTCTTCAAAGAAATTTCCAATGCCCCTGGAATAGGGCCCTTACGATCACCTTTTTTAAAATCGCACAAAGTGTGGCACCCTAAAGTGAGATTGAAGCGAAATTTGAGTGTAGAACCCCTGAATACATATTAGTTAAAATGATATAATTATATATCATTTTATATTATATAATTATATACTCGTACATATATGATATATCGCAAACATCGGATATTTACCAAATACAAAATACCAGTTCTGATCATTTAGTTATGTAACAGCTATAAGATATAGTCGGCCGATCGTTATGAAATTTGGTAAGTCGGAGCAAATGACCAAAAATAGAATGTGTACGAAAACGAAAGTTGGGTCATTTTCGCTTGTTTTGTTATATGACAGCTGTAGGATATAGTCGGCCGATCATTATGAAATTTGGTGGGTCGACCTCACCATTACCAATTTCCGAGAAACTGGCAGATATATGATATAGTTAAATTTACCTATAAAAGTAAATAATATAAAAGAAAAAGTAAGATCTTTTCGTCAGCTGAACCTTTCTTCTAATGGCAGTCGGCCAACTTCACCCAGTTCCTGGATGATACAATTCCATTCAATAATGGATATCTGTGGTATACTCCCGTTTCCACCGGGGAGGGTTACCAGGAAGGGATGGTCTAGGAGTAGGAAGGCGTGGGTGGGTGGAAGATGTGGTAGGAAGTGGGCGTGGGATGATAGTGCAATTGGGTGCTGTGTGTGTGCAACACAACACACTTATTTATCAAGTGTTCCATTATGGCGTGATTTTCGAAAACATTCTTATTACTTACGCATTGAAATAATGTTATTTATTTTGTATATTAATTTATTACGTTCCTTTTTAATATGGTTGTATGTATATGCATGATTTTTTTAAGAATTAGCTTGGCCAAGCGTCAACACCAAACAAAAGTATAAAAATTAAAATTTTTCTTTTGTATTTTTAAAGAGCCATTACAATTACAGTTTTTCTCATTAATATTATTTTTATATTTATAAAATTAAAAAGAAATATATTGATGAAGGTTGGGAGAGGACAAAAATAACTTACAAGACATTTCTATACCATATACTGTAGTTCTTTTCTTTTGCAATAGATTGGGGAATTTCTTTTACTCGATTTGCTTTAAAACATTCAATAATTATATGAATTTAAATTAAATTATAGCGAGTTTTATGTGCTGCTTGAAAAGTTAGGTTCCTGCAATTCATTAAACAATTGAAGTTCCTTTTCAGAAATACGGACAGGACGCGCCCTTTAGTTATGCGAAAGTCTGCTGTTATTGTGGTAAGTTTTCCTGATGATTTCCACCGCTGTCCGCTTAATTTATCTTGCCGCTTTTCTATGGGTGTTGTTGGTTTGCTACTTCGGCTTACTTGAAATCAGAGTTGTGTTCATATTATTGTGGGATCTGTAGTTATGGTCTTGCGCTTAATTAGCGATTAGCGTTCTTCAACTGATTGGAGAGCCAATCGAGTCCCTCGTAGAGTCCATCGCCGCTGGTTGCACACGTCGCTTGAATGTACCAGTTACGGTTTCTGAGTGAGTGCAAGCCAAGCTTATCGGTAATTTCGGCCGCATTCATTGCGTTTGGCAGATCCTATAATAATTTTAGATTTTTAGTACTTAGGTAAAAAAACTTTATCAATTTGGATGGTTCAGGGTTACCCATTGACTCAAGACTACGTGCCCTCGTCGCAGCTTACCTGTTTGTTGGCGAATATTAACAAGACTGCATCCCTCAATTCATCTTCTGCTAGCATGCGCATTAACTCCTCTCTCGCCTCCCCAATACGCTCACGGTCATTGCTATCAACAACAAAGATAAGACCCTGGAAGACACCAAAAAATATTAATGCAATATCGAAACAGTCGTGTTTTGAAAACTGACAGCTTTTGCTTGCTATCAGTCCCGTCTTGAAACAATTTAAACTTTGAATAATCACAGCATGATTCATTACAAGTTTTTAACATCATCTAAGATTACACTTTAATAATCTAGAAACCATATTCTGCAGAATCCTTCTGATGCGATATATCTTACCTGTGTGTTCTGGAAATAATGCCTCCATAGGGGACGAATTTTATCTTGACCGCCCACATCCCACACAGTAAAGCTAATATTCTTGTATTCTACAGTCTCCACATTGAAACCTAAAAAGCGACAGTAACTGATCAATAAGGAACAGGCAAAAGTGATTAAAAGGAGCTCTTTATCTTACCAATAGTAGGTATCGTTGTAACAATTTCGCCTAATTTGAGTTTGTACAGAATGGTTGTTTTACCAGCGGCATCTAATCCGACCATTAATATTCTCATTTCTTTTTTACCAAAAAGCCCTTTAAAGAGGTTAGCAAATACATTTCCCATTTTTGCTTTTTGTTTTTTGGACGCTGAAGGTGATTATTTTTTTATTTTTTTAGGTCGGACCCGTGAATTGAGTGCTAGCGTATTTGCTGGCTGGAATTAATTACAAGTTCAAATCCGAGTTGCAATGCCCTGTTAGATGAAGCAAACTTCTGGTTTGGGGAAATCTGCAAAGAAAAAATAATAAGCGGATTTAAATAGCGAAATTCCAGCATGCAATGAAAATCTACCAAGAGAAGAGCAACGACTTGAGTCGCGGCGGCCGTTCAATCCAATCGACTAAAATCGTCTTGAATGATGTTTTTAACAATGATTGTATGATGTGGCTTTTGTTTAAATTTCGTGATACTGACGCATTTTGAGTCACTTGCTTGCAAAATTTTTGAAAGTAGACTAACGTTGTTAACTGCGAACCGTACTAAGCATACAGAACCTTGCAGACTTAAATTTGTCGAACATGATTTTTTATTTAAATTACTCAACTATATAAATTGATTAAAAAAATATTTCACATTTCACTGAAAGTGAAAGTTTATAAAACATTTGATGGAATTTAATGTACTAATGTAACTTCCGCTAGGAACACCTAGGACCTTAACAGGTCCAGGAATACTTTTTTCATTCAAGAAACTATTTTCGTAGGCGATCAAACCAAATAACTAATTTCTTTTTCCAAAATGAGTCACCTTTTAAGTTCTTACGTAGTTGAAAGGCACGCTACATAACTCAACTGGGTCTTAATCTAAGATCGGAAGTGGTGGGACCGGCTCTTCCTCCCGATCCCCCGTCTATTATCACGGAACTCCACCCTTTGCCTGCAAAAGAAAACGAATGAAGTAAGCAAGGAACCACACACCCAGTTTTGGCTCAGGAATTGCGAAAAGGCCAAGCTGGGGTGATGAAGTGCAGAAAGACCGAGCTGAGATCAACGAAATACCCAAGAAACATCCGAAAACTACACGTCGCAACTTTTATTTGCCAAGCTGGGAGGGAGGTGGACCCCACACACACATCAACACCTTAAACACACACACACACTTTGACAGCCATCTAGGGTTGCCTACTGCCTAGTTAAGAATTTGACTTGCAATTAATTTACGTTTGCGGTCCTTTTTTATGCGACAATATTAAAAATGATTAATCATCCAAGGCGTGTTAAAAGTTTAATAAGACGCACTCTGCCATAAAACGTTTTTTAAATATAAAACACTGGAAACCTAAATAAACCATGTACGTGGTTTCCTTTGCGTCTGTGTAAGTGACGTATGCTTTTTTTTCTGCGGTTTGAGACGACGGAAATGCCTTGTTTTTTAAAACTAAATAAAGAATTTCGAATAGACCCCATGCATATTCAATCTTTCAGATACCCAAAAGTTTTTTTAAAAACACATTTCACGTCTATTTACCGACTAATATAGATTCTTCAGTGGACAGAATTTTCTCTGCCACAAACACACCACACCGAATGGCGAAAAGAAAGACGGCAAGAAGAAGAAATATACAATTCCCCACGGCCGCGTGGGTGTGTGCGTGCGTTTAAACGTCGCACACCAATACAAATACACCAAATCGTCCACATTGTTACAGTACAGGCTTTCAAAAACGAAATTTACTTCGTTTTTGTGTGAAACCCTTATCTCGATTAATAACACATACGCACCAACTAATTGAGTCAAATTCACAGAGATTGAGCGGAAATTTTAAAAATTTCGGCTTGGAAATGTCAAAAATCACAGAGCAAAATTTAACTTTACGAGAATACACTTGCCGTTGAAAAAACTGCAAACTCACCAAACTAAATGTTGCCGAGAGGTTTTGGTGAATATACAGAAATGCTGCCACGTCTCCCCACCAACGTGAAGAACTGCCATCCTTATTCAATATTTAGGGCTGCCAAACTTATGTCGAATATTTAAAAAAAATATCGTATCAATAAAATTTTTTTTAGTCAAAAAATTAAATTAAATATTGAAAATATCACTGCAAAATATCGATATATTTTATACTTTTGATAATTTTGTAAAATACAATTTTTTTCCAGCATAATATAAAGACAACAAGTTTATTAATACATATATTATTATTTGTTTATTTTTAGATACTTTTTATCTATCAACATCTATTATCTATCAATATATATTTCATCATGTTCTTCTTGGTGATAATTTTTAAGTACTCCAAATTATTGGATAGACGAAAATTAATTAAAATATTTTTATTGCATTTGGAATGAAGGAAATTTACTGCCTACTATTGGCAACGGCAATGGAGTTTGTAAGGAACTTAAGCTAAATAAGCTAAGAACTAAACAATTTAATCTCGACGGCGCTCACCTAATAGGTGGCCCATAAGAGGGAGATCATAAAGGTTGGGTATACTTTGGTTTCAATGTGAGATAATGTGAGTACAATTTATTACTATTATATATTGCCGAATGTTCCGAATGGAAGAAGTGTACAATTTTTTCCATAGCCAGCTCCAAGTTGGTGGGAGATGTGCAAATATTATTTTTGCGAACTATAATTAAAAATTAATAAGTTCCTCTTTCCACTTTCAATTGGCGCAGTGACGAAAATTGTGCCGCCAATTTAATGCCCACAGAGTATTTGATAAAAAGGAATCCCTATATGACCTGCACCATTTTCTAATGGAAGTTGATAAATACTAATGTTCCGGCTAAAATAAAGCACCGATATAACGACAAGGTAAGTTTATTTATTAAATTTGAAAACAAAATATACCATTAATGGTCATTTTCAACTCCTTAGCATTTCCTGCAAGAAACTTCACCCTTAATTTAACCAAACCAAATCATTTTGAAAAAGTTTGAGCTCAGCTGGCCAACGAAGTACATTTGGGAGGTGAAGAAGGCTTCGAAAAGTTTAAAAGCGTTCATGGCTACGTTGGCCACAGTTTATGTGCAAAAAATCCAAAGTGGTCTAACAAAATTGGTCTAACCGAACTTCCTAGGCAGAGGAGTCATCCAAGAGGTTGAAATTAGGCTTATGTGAAGAATGTGGACAAGGCCTCCTGGAGACACCACTTAAAAAAACGCGGCCCACACTACCTCAAAGGTGGTGTGGAAAAGAGTGTTTTTGGAATGGAAGAAGTGGGAAATTTTCTTCATAGCCCTGGTAACACTGAACAAACTAAAACCAACCACGCCACAAAAATTTCAAAACAAAAACAGACGCACTAATCTGGACTTCGAGTAGGCACAAAAACGACCAACTGAACGTTTTACATACTTTGAGTAAGTCTACAATGAAATCATCCTTATAATTATTTTAATACTTTATTATTCTTTTAATAGATTTTCCTGGGTTTTTACTGCTGCCGTAGGCATTATTTCTTGGGCTCACATGCACTACCCAAAATCGCCGTTTCTAAGCTGTCCGCATTTGGAAGCGGAAATTTTGAAAGAAAACGTAATGAATTTATATTGTTGGCTGTGCTTGGATGCAAACTTTGTTGTTTCTATATCAGTCCACAGCTCTTGCTCCTCTTCTGGAATGGCTCTGCGTTGCACCACGAACCACTACGTACAGGATAAACACTCTACGTTCAACAGTGGCTGATTTTAAAAAAATTGTTTTAGACACACTCGTAACCCGTTATGGAAGTGGCGCTCCTAAGGTCTATGGTCTTAACAGCCTACCCGAGGTTCTTTGCATTGATCCATTGAATTCAGACCACGTGGAGAATGTTTCGGACCCTACACTAAAAGAGGTCATCGTAGATTCAACTTGTGGTGCTGCACTTTTGCGTGGAGCCCACATATATGCCCCCGGGGTTGTCGCTATGGAACATCATACTAGATTTGAGGAGTTGGTGAACATCTTTGCGGATCTGAGTGGAAAATGCAAGAGAGGTACGGCTGTAAGATTTGGCAGTGCAGAAAAAATTTTCTTGGGAAAAGGGAAGGTACTAATGCGGCGACATCAACTATTTAATGATGACGAGCCTGCAACCGGAGTAGCTGTGGAAATGATGTCAACTATCAGCGGTGTGATACCAGGACTAGGAAACTTGAGCTGTGCAGACGCCCTGCTACAAAATCTTCCTTCAATTGTATGCGTACGAGTCCTGGATCCGCAACCTGGAGAGGTCGTCTTAGATATGTGCGCTGCACCTGGCAACAAAACAACCCACATAGCTGAGCTAATGGGCGACTATGGTTGCGTGATGGCATTGGACAATTCGAAGAACCGCGTTCAAGCCATGCGGTCCAAGTTGGATTACTATAGGAGTATTCAGTTACACGTCTTTGACTCGACAAAGGCAGTGGATTCGCAAGCCACTACAATTTCCGCACCGCCATTTCCATGCGCTAGCTTCGATCGAATTTTATTGGATGCCCCTTGCAGCGGTCTTGGTAATCGCCCCCAACTTGCAAGCCAAATTAAACAGCCGAAAATCTTAAAGTCATATCCAAATGTTCAAAGGCGCCTTTTTACACAGGCAGTCCAACTGTTGCGAGATGGCGGGACTCTAGTTTACAGTACCTGCACAGTTACTGAGTCGGAATGTGAAGGTATTGTGGCTTGGGCTTTGAGCAAATTTCCAGACCTGAAATTGGTAGAAGCGACGCCACGCTGGGGAGGCCCCGGTTTACCTCTAGAAAACCTAGAAGCATCACAATTATCAATGCTGCAACGCTTTGGACCAAACAAAGAACACCATAAAGATGAATTTGATACTGTTGGATTTTTCATTGCTAAATTTCAAAAACATAAATAAGGTGTACTTTGACTTACTGCGTTCATTATTTTTTTAATTTTGGTCAAAAGTGTGCAACGCAGTGCAGGAGACATTTCCGACCCTATAAAGTATATATACTATTGATCAGGACCTGTCTGTTTCTACGCAAACTAGTCTCGCAGTTTTAAACCGACTTGAAAATTTGTACACTCCCTTCTTTCGTTTGCACGCAGTATATAAATCGGAACGGCCATTATCCTATAGCTGACATATAAGTGATTAATCAAAAATCAAAAATGGGTTTAATTATAGTGATAGTTTGTTTAATTGTAATTGTTTAATTATAGAGATAGAAGGGAATGTGTTCTTTAAATTAGGTCCAAAAACCGTAGCAAAAAAACAGCGTTTTAGGAAAAAACATTGAAACATTTTTTCAGAATTTGCGCCTTAACATAACTGTTTATATTTTGTTTTTATGCGATTCCAACCTTAAACGAAATTAAAACTATAAAAATTTAAAATTAAAAAACTAGTTTTTCTACTAAGTGAAATTAGGTATAAATCAATAGTTCGGATAATGGAGTCTTAAATAAGACTTTAAGAATTAATTTTTTTACACTTCTCTCTCATACAGGTTTTTTTTTGTATCAAATTCGGCCAATGGTGTTTGTAATGGCGTCAATTGAAAACCATGAGTCTTTTATGATTCCAATGAATTATTTTTTTTAAGGTATCTTGTTAAAATACTTAAGTAATTTACACTTAATATATTTAATTAAATTTGTTACAGCTAAGTTTATTCGTTCCTTAAATGTTGTTTTGTTAAGAAATGCCAAAACTTTATTTAAAATTTGTCGAACGCCACTTATTTGCCCTATAAGATGGCATCTTTTTGTTAGGTAAAGTATTGGAATACAAATATGCGTTACAAAATTTTAAACATGTTTATTAAATTATTTTGCAAAAGAAAATTCGCTATGCAAACTCTACCGACACTTCCTATGTCGGATACTGTTACAATTAGGGTTTTACGCAATGTCTTTCTGGTCAAGAAGTTGTGAATTTAACACAAATAAAGGTATAAATGACACTGAATGTTGGCCTGCAATGTGGGAATGATTTCGACTACACGAACGGCAGGTGGGAAGTTGACCAATTTATACATCTTGATGTAGAGACTGTTACCAAATTTCTACGTAGGGATATTTAGCGTTTTGAACTGGTCTTCATGCATCTCTGTCATCATGAAGGTTCCATCCTGTAGAAGCAAGACGACGCGACGTGTACCTCCTGAAATATATTGTCGTTAATTTAAGATTGATTTTAATAAATTTTGCATTTAACTGACCAGGGGATGGCAAATCAGCTTGAACAACTTCGGCCGGTATCTGGGCTTCTGTCCCGTCGCTGTCAGAAGTAGTTATATGTATTTGGGCTGTAGCCGGCGTTCCTGTACCAGTTGTGGCAGCCTCCGCCTGTTGAAGCACTGCTGCCTGATGTTGGGCCAGTTCTTCTTCAGTCATAGACACGAGAATTTGCTCCCCCTCTGACGGTGCAGCCACGGCACTTTGTGCATCCTCCTGTTCACCCGCGTGGACGGCCTCGGCCACTGCATGGTCCAAGGAGAGGACATCCTGATCTTCTCCTTCAGCAGATGCTACGTAAGCAAATTGTTGTTCACCGTCGGGGCCCTGTGTGACCAAAATGGTCTGCCCTTCCGCATTCTTGCCCGCCACCTGATAAACAGTTCCGTCCTCGCCTCGAACAAGCAGGGCAGATCCGTCCTCGTTGGTAAGAACCTGTTGATCACCACTTAGAAGGGCCTGCGCCGCTGCTTCCAGTTGTTCACGCTGTTGCTCTTGTTGCTGCTCTTGTTCCATTTGCAACTGTGTCTCCTCCTGACCAATTAGCTTCCCCGTAATTGGACACAGCTGAGCCTGGTGTTGTACGTCCTCTTCCATCTCCATTGGCACAGGCGTAGGTTGACTTAATGGCTTAGCAGCAATTCGCTGCCGCCCTGCAGTCAACTTTTGTATCTGCGCCTGGGATTGCTGCTGTCGCTGTCGAGCTTGTGCAGCACGTTGCGCGATCAACTCTTCTCTTGTTACCACTTTCCGAGTTACCTTCAGATCCCCAGACTTTGATAGCTGTAGAATCTTTTGCTCAGGAGTCACTGCTTTAGCGATCTGAGGTGTGGTTGTCGGTTGTCGTTGCTGAAGTGTTCCTGCTCCAGCACGAGCTAAAACGCGACCACCTGGATGGGCTCTGGCCGGAGTTTGCTGTTGGTTCAGACGCACATTTGGATTAACGCTAACTGCAGATCTACGCTGGACAGTCGCAGTAGACCCAGGGGTGCGCAGTACTTGTTGACGTTGACCAACAGTAATGGGAGAGTTGGCGCCAGAATGGGCGGGCCTGGCAAGGGGCAGTCGTTTGGCTATACCTCCGCTTGCAGGCAACGAAGCTTTTTGAGGCTGTAAAGCAGCTGGGGAAGCGTTTGGCTGGGCTTCAGAGCTATCCACGCGGAAAACACCTCTGGAATTGTTGGCCACCTCGGAGCGCGAAAGATAGCGTATCGGACACTCAGTCTTCTCTTTTTTCTAGAAGAGGTTTCAGGATTTAAATTAAACTAATTATATAAGTATATAAAAAAAATTATTTACCAGGTGAAGAGTATTTGGCATTTCAGGCTTGCGGAACATTCCCGAGCTGGTGCTATCCTCTGTGTATATTATTTCGCCCATCTTTTGATGTGATAAATTGGAGTTGCCGTTTACCTTAGTCTGCAACTTCTCCGCGTGCTGAACACGTGGTTTATTTAGCTGCACAGAGCTTCCGCCGTTTTTTAGTCGCTTAACCGTGTGTGATGGTAAATCTTCTTCCAAATCCTCTAATTCCATAGAATCGTTGAGGCCACTCTCCTCCAAGCTAGAGTCTGTACGATCTAATTTTCGCTTAACGAGTCCCGTTGATGATGTCCATTCTTGCTCTGTTGCCGATTCGTCTTCATTGGCGGAAGAGGGCGACGAAGATCCATCCCCACCACCCTTTTCATTTACCCATTGCTTAAATGAATCCATTGCCTTCGTCTTTGACGTGCGAGAAGGTCGCGAAGTGGGCGATATTTGTGACTGCGCCGGCACCGGGCTTAGTGGAGCGGCTGAATCTGATTTTGAGGAAGAAACTGGTGATTGCATACGCTTAATAGCATCGAGACCCTTCTCCCTGGTCAGCTTTTGACGCGCCAATTGCTTTTCGAACATCTGTAGAAAATACGGAACTCGTTCAAGGTTGGCCATGACCTCCCAAGTGTTTTCATGATGCGAACGATCCACCCATTTAACTAAATATTCGTGAGTCTTCCGTCGTGGGTTGAAGCGTTTAGCCACAATTTTTTCAACAGGCTCTTCTGTTCGCTGTTCTGTTTTCGAATCAATTCGAATGGCAAGTCGATTATTTGGTTTGATTGCTCCACTAGAGGGGACTGACGGCGTTGGAGTGCCCGGCTTCGACTTTGGTCGCTCATTCTCAGTGTCCTTTAACTGGTTTGATATGGTTGGTAGCTTCCCGGCCGGGGATTCTGGAAACATATTTTTTTAGTTTAATGAATTATTTTATCTACTACGCTTGTTACTTCTAGTTGGCGAGACGTTGGAATTATTGTTGTTGGAGGTATTATTATTTGGATTCACAACTGTCTTCGTTATGCGCACTGGCATGTCCTGAAGCTGCCCGTGAGCAATCTTGCCGAAGGACTGTATAGTTTTTCCAGCTACAATCCATGGCTCCCTGACGCTGTCCTCCAATTTAACCCAGTGTTGGTACAGAGCCCATGAGTTTCCAGAATAAGCATCTTTCCGTGAGTACAATTGGGTAGCTTTCCACAAAGTAAACGCCCAGATGGTTGGCTTGGTATCCAACGACTCTTTCATGTTGGCGTTCTCTTTTTCACAGGCATCCTCCTTGTGGGACTGGAACTCTTCCACAAAATTATAGGCTCTCAAACATCGGCCACACACAAGCACATCCATGTTTGCAAGTTCCTCCTGTGCAGCTATTCATAAACCAATTATTAACAAAAGTTTTAGTTATTTTCAGTCAAAAAACTTTTTTTGCCTCTTACCTCTGATAATATTTGCGTGTTTCCCAATTTCAGTCGGTGCGATCTCCTGTGCCAACATTATACACGGGTGCAGCTCGTAGGCTTCTGTGGACCGCAATTAAATTTATCAAACCGACTTAATGTTTATAAATGTTTATTATGGCTTGCTAAAATATGAACTAACAGACGAAAAAAAAAGTACAGTGCCGTGGTGTGTTTGTGCAAACTTGTGCCAGGTGGCAACGCCTGCAGTGCTCGATGCGTTCCCCATGGTGTGTTTCTACACATCTGCAATAAAAAGGATGCAGCGGCTCTTTGAGACCTAAACAAGTAACGCCAAAGAGGACGCTAGAAACGTTTCTTTGCAATCATACAATTTTAGGGAGAAGTTTTTTAAATTATATGAAAAGAAAGAATTTTTGCAATTTTAAATGTACCGATTGAGTTTGGCGGACTCATTTACAGTACCGCAAAAATTTATATGAATTTACGAATATGTACAAATTGAAGCATGGGTTACACTATTTAGCGATGTTTGCCAGCGCGTTGTAAGATTTCACTATTTCACTATGCTATTTTTTTTGTTGAAAAACATAAAATGATTTTTTCTTATCATCTTCATTACGCACCTTCATAAACAAACTTTTACAAAAAAAATAATAATAGTCGAGAACTGATATTTTAGTTTTAGTTCAAATTTTTCAACACTCTGCATGCGATTATAAATTGTAGGCGCTAACTCTGAATGCCAAAGCTGCACGATGTTACCGACTCGGCTACAACGACCTTAGTAATCCCTTCGTTAATAGGTGAATTTCATTCCTACATATATGTATTGTGGTGTGTGTTGGGTAACGCGATTTTCCACTTATCCAAAATCAGAGTTTGTTTTTTTTTTGTCTTTTATGCCCAAAAAAAGTGTGTAGCGCCATTTCAAGTTCGCCCGTGTCACAGAGCACTTTATCACCCAATCAGTACGTGTGGTGAGATTATTTGTACGGTGTGGCAACTTTAAAATTTTTCGTCATTCCGAAAGGAATTTGCGCACATCCCTAAGTGCGCATGTTAGGGATGAAATTCATTCGATGAATATTCAATTTAAATTTAGAAATAAAATTGAAAATAAACATTGCATAAATACATTTTTTATTTAAATAGAACATAAATTGAAAAAATATATTACAGTCAATTAAAAAAAAACCGCTTTAACGATTCCAATACCGATTAAAATACGTATTAACTTGGCATGCTAATTAGGTAGGTAAAAAATGTGAATATAAAATATAAAAATAAAATCATATTTTCCACTATATCATACGCTTTCTAGATCTTTATTGTTTTTGCAAGGGGGTGTATTCATTGTTCATGGCGGAGTGGCAACTCTATAGAACAAGATGGTATTTTTCGATTCATCGACAATTTTTCTAATAGCAACTATTGTAGTGTTGTAAGGTGGAAAATTCAATGTTGGTCAACGAGAATATAGAAAATTTAATATTTACCATATAGTTGATTTTTTTTTTATCAGCTCCAGACTACAAGGACGGAAATCACTTCTCATTATTTGCAAAAATGGCCGACGATGAAAATGAAGACCAGAAAGAGTACCGATGGGAGACCGGATACGAAAAAACATGGTGAGTTCTTATTGGGATCATGGGAGGCCTGGTTAGCTGGTTTATGGCAGAACGACATTATACTATTAAACCCTCAGGGAAGCAATCAAAGACGACGAGGATGGTCTACTCGACGGGGCAATTTCCGAAATCATCCAGAAGGCTAAGCGGCAGAGGCTGGCACAGAAAACAAAGCAAAACCGGCTTGGCATGATGCGACACCTTTTCGTCATATTGGATTGCTCCGAATCGATGAGCGTACCGGATTTGAAGCCCACAAGACTGCGGTGCACCATTAAGCTGTTGGAGCAGTTCATCGAAGAGTTCTTCGACCAGAACCCCATTAGTCAGCTGGGAATAATTGCACTTAAGGCCAAAAGGGCCGAGAAGGTAACTGAACTGACCGGGACGTCGCGAGTTCATCTAAAGGCGTTGGAAAGGTAAGTAGATTAAAATTTTTGGGAGCCTTCGTGTATTAAAAGCTTTAAGATTTATTTTTATAGCTTGGTAAACGTGTCTCTGACAAGCGAACCATCGCTTCAAAACGGTTTAGATCTAGCGCTAAAAACTCTTAAAGTGGTACCTTCGCATGCATCTCGCGAGATTGTCGTCATAATGGGATCGCTTACCACCTGCGACCCGGTCGACATCAACCTTACCATAGACGAGCTGAAAAAAGAAGGCATTCGGTGCTCTGTCATATCATTATCCGCGGAAATTCATGTAGCCCGCTATTTAACTCAACAGACGCTGGGAACTTTTGGTGCAGTCCTAGACGATGCCCACTTCCGCGATCAGCTTATGTCGCAAGTGGACCCGCCACCAGCGGCAAAGACGCAGCATAACTCCCTTATTCGTATGGGCTTTCCCCACACCAAGAATGAGGTGGAGGGTAAGGACGCGCCATTGTCTATGTGCATGTGTCACATTGAAAACTTGGAGGAGCCCAGTATATTATGCACTACTGGTCACCATTGCCCCCAATGTAACAGCAAATACTGCGAATTGCCTGTTGAGTGCCAATCCTGTGGTCTTACCCTTGTGTCTGCTCCTCATCTGGCACGTTCCTATCACCACTTGTTTCCTGTGCCAAACTTCGAGGAGGTAAATTTTGAATCGATGCCGGCAGTTTCCTCCGACTACAATGGCGGTGTAAAGGAATGCTACGCCTGTGCCAAGGTTCTTAGCTTTGTCGGCGACAAAAGTGTCTTCAAATGTGGATTTTGCCAGCAGTTCTTTTGCATTGACTGCGATGCGTTCATACACGAAACCCTACACGCGTGTGTTGGTTGCAACACTATTCCCGGAGTTGATGGCCTAGTGTATCAGCAGAGTACAAAGCCTACATCTGAGGATCCGCGTTAGAAATCTTCAATTATTGCGCAAAGTTAAAAAAATATAACTGCTTTAAAACAAGTAAATGTAGGTAGCTTAGTTAAGCCTTTTGTAAGAGACCAGAATATATAAGCTTTACAATTAATTATTTGACTGGATTAATTATTTATACAGTACGGAAATCATTGCGGTTGATATTGTGACTTGTGATTCCCACTTGCTTTAATAGTCATTTGGTTGAATGCAGGTTCTCCGAGTCTCTAATTGCTAGCATTCGCTTTGATTGCGAGAGCTCGCGCCATTCAGTTGACGTTAGATTTGAAGTCAAGCACACAGCTCGGTAATAAAAAAAACCTTTTCTTAAATATAAGTGGAATATGTTAATGATCATCATTATAATATAAGGCTTTAGAAAGTGAAAATTGAAAATAAACTTAAAGATCTGTTTATAATCGAATTGAAGTTATGTTTTACTGAAAACCAGTAAGTTGATTTTCCCGTATTAAACTATTTTTAACGCATCAAAAATCTTTTTACAATCAGTTTTTTTTATTATTTCAGATAAATAAGATAAATAAAAAACGATAAAGAAAAGTTAATTTCGACCGCAGCTGAACTTATTATACCCTTGCAGTTTTCATACCCGGTACTAGTAGAGTGTGTTAGTGTAAGAGTATATTGTATTTCTAGAATAGGGACCGACAGGGAGAAGGAATCATATCCGAATCTATAAAATTTATTAAATGTTAATATCATTCATACATATTCTTTATTAGCATCAAAAGCCAAGTTGATGTAGCCATGACCGTCTGTCTGTACCAGCGGGCGTGTATCTCAGAGATTATAAAAGGTACCCAAGCAAATCAAGTTTAAAATTCAAATCCGATCAATCAGTTATATAGCTGCTATAGTATATAGCTGCTATAGTATATGCTATAGAATGGTTTGGTTTGTGAAAAGTTGAAGTCGATAGATTTAAAACTGAAAGAGTAGTTTGCGTGGAAACTGACAGGTGGACAGACAGATGGAAACCTGCAACCCAGGAGATAGGTTGGATGAAGAACATATGTAAATATATACTTAATAGGGTCTGTGACGTCCTTTAAAAAGGTTCGCTTGGACATTAAATGTTATATAAAATTAATGATAAAGTTAATTTTATTATTATATCAAATAAAATTAAAATTGTCCTTCTTATTTCCCTTTAATTGGTGTTTAGTTCTAAACAAAACCAAAAATTAATTTTTATCGATAGTTTGTTTTTAATAAAATTATCGTTGAACATAAAAATTGAAATTGAAATAAATAAATCGTATTCTCTTTTAGTTACATTAAAAGTGAAAAAAAACAATGATGGAAGAAAATGTCGCAAGCTACAGTAAAAAAATTAAATTTAAAAAAAAAAGCTACCGAATATTGTAAAGTTAAATATAAATAATTATGAAGAACTATAAATAAGTAACATTTTAAAAGTGGTTGCAGAAATATGGATCAAACCGTTTCGACGAAATCTAGTTTTTGAAAAAGTAACTTCTTCTTTTTTCGCGTATGACATGCATAGTTTTTGAATATCTTGAAAACCAAAAAATTTCCAAAATTAATATTTGAACCAATTATAGTGCTTGTTATGAGCTATGAGATCCACCTTTCGTAAAAATAAAAAATACAGGTACGTGTATAAAACACAATTAAAAAAAAAAAAAAGCGTTTTAAAAAGCGTCCCAAGCTTCTATCTGCAAAAATTCTAAAGTTGGTACCAAAAAACCAAACACCATTTCCGGTTGTTCTGTTATATGGCAGCTATACAATTAGACGGCCGATCTTTCGTAAATTTGGTAGATCCAATCACTAACCATACAGCATATACAGCATAACCATATCCAATCAAGTGCAACTAAATAGAATCTGTGGAAAGTTCAAACGTTCTATCTTCAAAAAAGTTGGGTGAATTCCGATCTTTAAGTTATATGGAAGCTACAAGATATAGTCGATCGATACTTCACTGCGTTGCACACTTTTGACCAAAGCTATAATACCATCTGCAAAGGTAAAAAAGGCTTTAACAAAACGACATGACAACCTTAAACACAAGAGAAATTAATTTCTCAATAATAATAAAACAAAGACAATTCCTTCTTTTAAAAAAAATTTAATAAATAATTTTCGTTTGTTGCTTTGATTTGAGCCCTGCCTTTGATAACTTATTAAAAGTTTTTTATTTATCGTTTCCTTATATATGCATATTTTTTGTTTGTTTTTTTTTTGTATTGTTTCCAAGCTAAAAAGAGCAAGTAACCAAGTGAATGTCGATGTCGGAAGCGATCTAGCACCATTACAAATACCAGTTTAAAATTTGTAATCGCTACAAATGAAATAGCGAATGCAAGCTTTGAATAGAAACGTTTGTGTGACTTTCTAGGTAGGCAGCATATGCACTCCGAGTATTCCATTTAAACAGCAATAAATCCCATCCACAAAGATCACATTGCAAATCGTTACAAAACCGCCCACTAGCAGAACAATAAATACGATGTTTAATCATTTTTTGTACAGCTCTGCCTTTACTACCTCGTTTGAATACCCAGTATTTGTAAATTACATTCGTAAAATGTTCCGAATATTTTCAAGCACGTCAAATTTAAGCACGTCCCTTCCATCTGCAAAAAATATTATTCCAATGCCAATTTATATAAAAAAAACAATTATTTATTTGTCAGGAAAATTTTTAAGATTTGGTTCTCCTGTTTTGTTAATTAAATCAAACTCTATTCTGTTTTCCTTCTTGCATATTTTAGTGTTTTTTTTTAAGAACGTGTTTTTTTCATCTCCGGTCTTTTAAAGTAGATATAATCTTGACCAGCACTAACATTTTCGTCTGTCCGTATGAACGTGTGGATATTAGAACTATAAGAGATACTGCAAGAGGATTTTTCCTGGAGACTCCTATAATACCCTCGCAGCTCAAATTGGTTTCTAATTAGACGCCCCCTCTTGTCCCCATAAATGGCTTATTATGTAGCCCCAGTACGATGAAAAAGAGCTGGGCCAAAAAAGCTGTAGATTGCTAGGTATCGAAGTATTTTCGGAGTCCACTTAGTGCACTAGCAGTACAACTTCTATACAAAGAAGTTCGTATTTAAATACCATAAATATATAGAAGGTTAATTATATTTATAGGTGTATTTTTTAAATAAAATTGTTCAAATCGTTAGAGCAAAAAAAAAAAAAAAAATTTATTTGTTAGGAAAAAAGGTTTTTTTAGTGTAATTATTTTTTCCTAATTTTTCAACGTATGCTCTTAAAGAAAGTGAAATATCATTAAAGAAAAACCTTCTCAACAAAGTATGGCAAAGATATTTAGGCTATAAATTTTTTAATTTAAAACTGTTAAGTAAATAATCAAAACTCTAAAATAAAAAATAACCAAATTTAGTAACAAATACCCAATTTTCTTCAAAATGGTTTGGCAACAAACATTTTTTAAACATCTTTTCTGCTTTTACTCTACATCAGATTTTATATATAATAATATATAAAATTTTATCTGTTTGAAAGTTTTAACTGGTAAATTTCCATTCCTTATAAAAGGAAAACATTTTTGTACAAATGCTTGCTCAAAAATAGACTTTAAAAGGTTAGTGAATTAAAAAAAAAAACCTGTGTAAAAAAGGTGTGGTTGGCCCAGAAGTAGTTGGGCTATTGGGTATCAAATGGTCGAACACTTGACTTAAGACGTCTTTTATTTTTTACCAAATTTCCGTTTCACTCCACATGTGAAGTCTAAATAAGATAGTTCGAATTTTTTTTTATTGAACATTAAGTTCACGTTTAAACGACTCACGGTTGTTTCTACTAAAAGGCACCGTTTATTTTAAAAGCTTTTAGTTTCGTCGATCTATTTCTCTCTTCTGCGATGTTGTCGGGGCACTTTTACATTAGTTTTGTTCTCATTGCTGGTTAACCAGGAAAGGCCGTTAGTGCGCGTTGGATTTGGGCGAAATTAATTAATAATTTTTTTTATCATTATTTAACCCTTGACTTATGTACAATATTAAACAACATATATGTATCCCGTGAATGTCGTTCTCCTTAAGTTCAGCACGTGCCTCAATTACATCTTTCACAAATAAAAACTTTCTTACATATGTACATATACATGTATGTGCATACTTACAGATTTAATTTATAAAACAAAAGTTTGAAACGTACATGTGCATATATGTACATATGTTTATTTATGTGTATGAGTTCATACGTTAAGGTAAACCAGTTTTGCACAGTTATCAACGTCCTCCTGTTGGCAAGTTTATTTTTTCATTTAATTGTTATTTACCTTCTTGTCCAATTTATTTTTAGTTTTGTATGTCAATCCAATTGCTTCTTTGGGAAGCAATTTGTATTCTGATTTATAATTACTGATATTATTTTACCAGTATTTAATTTTTTTTTAAATTATTATAAACTAGTATTCAAAATATTGTATTTGTTGGTTTCAATAGAGAAAAATGCAATTAGCAAATAAATAACTCAAAGATAATATTGAAGGTCTTTATTTATTCTATTAGTACTTTAAAATATAATTTTTTTGATACTTAAGTATGTTAATTGCGGTTGATTAGATGCCGTTTCGATTAATAAATAAGAACGGTGTTAAGTGATGGGTATTCTTAACTTGTTTATTTTTGAAATTACCGGAAACACGAATATGTATTGATTCACGTATTGGTACAAGCTTGCTTAATTGCCAATTACCAAAAAATTTGAAAATGAAATAATTTCCGGTAACTGTTAATGCCTTGATTATGGAAGTATAAATTACTTTCTAAAGGTGGGAAAGTTATTGTCACTAAAATTAGTTACAGCATTAGTTAGAGTTACCAGCAGAATATTCTTGTTAATTATGACTTTTAGACACTTTTTAGTGACTCAAATGAACGAATGGGGTCTGATTCTGGGCAAAATAGTGAAATTACCCTTTTTAAGGCTTACTTTCTTCTAACAAAATGTTGTTGAGTATTTAAAAAACAATTTTCAACTTATTTGGAAACGCTTTCTTATGGAATGTCTGATTAGGATGGTTAAGGTACCAGTCCACTCGTGTTTAAGAATAAAGTTATACATTTTTCACAAAAATTATTTGCAAAC